GAGAGAAACTCTGGTGTAAATGGTGTAAATGCTATTTCATCTAAGAGAAATTCTGCTGTCACCAGGAAGGAGCCAAGCTCAGGCGCTGCTGCACTTTGGGCTCCTCTGTGACAGCGGAACTGGGCTGCACTGGCTGAAGCAATGAAAGGGAGAAGAGCTGATCAGCCTGCAAATGAAGCAGCTTACAAGTGTTCAGCAAGTGTTTCTTGTTCACAATTCATTGCTTCCCACGTGTAATTGAATAAATCCTAGTGAAAAAGGAGCTGCTGCTGTGCTGGCTTCAGACTGGACCCACGGAGAGCTGAAAGCACATCCAGGAGGCAGAAGAGGGAAATGCCCAAGCTCACAGTGAGACAGAAGAGTCCCTGTACTTCTGGAACAGAAGTTCCCTGTGGGAGCTGCTGGAGCATCCCTGCCCCGAGCAGAGCCCTGTGCCCAGCCCCTGTCCCACGGATAAATCTCCTCAGTGAGTTACAGCTGCTCCTGTCAGCCGTGAGCAATGAGCACACTTAGAGTGGAGCAGGGGCTCCAATCCATCAGCTTCAGCACAAATTAAGCTCATGCTTTATTTGCCCATGACTGATGGCTCTGCTGAACGAGGGAAACTCCCCTGCCCGAGCCAAGAACAGAGAGAGGGGCCTGAAGGAGTGTGCAGGGCTCCTGCAGCCACACCAGCCCCACAGCCTCCCATTAATTGCATTTCTCTGTGGCTTTAATACTCCCTCTCCATCCATATCCACCCTGCAGAAATTTTCTCCCCAAGCTCTTTGCAGGTTCTCCCCCAGGCTGGGCACGTTTTGGTGCAGCAGAACACAGAGAACACATTTCAGACAGGGGATCACAGCCCTTCGTGGCAGCACTGTGAGCCCACACCTCTGCTCCTCAGTGAGGGAAAGTTTTAAATCGTGTCTGTGTGGGCTGGCACCGTGGGAAGTGCAGAATCTGAGAGAAACCGGGTAAATGGGGATTTTCCTGTCCTGGAAAGGACACCAGCCTTTTCCAACACAGCTGCAAGGTGGGATTAGGATCACCAGAAGGAGCAAAGGAATTTCTCATTAAAGGGGGTGGAGTTTCCAGACCGGAAGCCCCAGTGAATGAAGGGATCTCTCTGGGGACAGCAGTGAGATTTTTTGTCCTGGGGACAGACAGGAAATTTTTTGTCACCAAATTTCCCCATCCAGCAGCAAAACCTGGGACACAACTGAGCTGGATCCATAAGAACACCAGGCACGGTGCCTTATTTCAGTTTTAAACTCAGACTAGCCACAGGCAGAGATCAACCTCTTGGGAAAGCAAATGCTTCAAAGAAAATTTGCTTTTCTTAGAAGGAGACAGAACTTGTGGACTTTCCATGCAGGACATCATCCTTTCAAAGGGAACCTCTCTGGAAGCAAGGCACAATGACAATTGCTGGACTGAGCACACCAGTGTCTCTTCAGCCACCGTCCCCAGCCAACACCCCTGTCCCCAGCTCCTGCAGGGATGGCACCCTTTCCCTTGGACACCCTTTGTAACCCAAAAGCCACGCATTTCCATCCTGAACCCAGCCAGGGGTTTGGGCTCTCAGTCCATTTGCTCCATGAGGACAGAGGGTTCAGGTTTCAGGGACTCAGGGCTCAGGATCTGAGCTGGAAAATTCAGAGTGATTTTCCCCATCCTGGAAGTGCTCAGGGCAGGGATGGACAGGGCTTGGAGCAGCCTGTCCTTGTGGAAGGTGTCCCTGCCATGGCAGGGGTGGGTGAGATGGACTGTCACCCTTCCACCCCAAACCATTCCAAGATGTAACAGCACAGAACAGAAAGATCAAATTCAGCATTTTAAGAGAACAGCTCACAGGCATTCAGCTCTGCTCAAAGCCACCCACAGAAATCAGAGAAGACCCTGAGGCAGCCGAGGATGCTGCCAGCCCC